TATACTCCAACCCCAACCCCTCCAATCCCCAACCCCATTCCCAAAAGTTTCTCACCGGATTTGGGCTATACTCAGCAAGCGCAGTACAGCCCCCAAACTCAGATTTGAAAAAAAATCAGTGGATGGTTGTTTTCTGACTGGTCGGCAGACCGCCGACCGGTCGGCCCCACTGGTCGGCTGTAATACTCACATGTGATTACGCCACTGAAGCAGATCATTCCAAACAGTCAGCTCATCCCAGTCATTGGGCACACGCAGGTGCCACGTCTCCAGGATGTCCTTCAACTCTGTGTATGTGGGGGCTGCTGCTGCCAATCCAGCTGGCTGTCCTGGGACCACCCCAGTTAGACCTAACTGTTGTTGCTGCTGTTGCTGCTGTTGTTGTTGCTGCTGCTGCAATTGCAACTGCTGCTGCTGAGCACTCCCATTCACAATCTCCAGTATCACCCTTGCTGCCTCCTGCAATCACAAATGACACACATAACAGTCAAACAGTATTTTCCTTTTGAGAGGGGCATTATCTAATCCCGGTGGAATGTTAAGGTTGCAGCATGCAATTCTGCTGGTTTGATTTAAACAACCACCAATACATGGCCCCAGCCAACTTGAGAATCATGATTAAGCCTCTCCTAAAATATCGGAGTCTCAGGGCAACCGGACAAAAAAGGCTAGCGGTGCCAGCCAAAACAAAAACAAAAATGCCGTGCTGGCACTTCGGCAAAGCTTGGGGCGCAGAAAGAATCCGCCTCGTACAAAACACGCCTGGATGTACTGGCGGTTTAGAGCACTAGTCAAACCACCAGCAGGGCAAAACCTACTTTGTCAAAATTCAAAAATTTCCAACTCTAGCCTGCCCAGCCTGGAATGTGATGCATACTGGGCCACAGGGACTCCGATCAACGTGTGCATCCGGTTTGGATAAAAAATTAAAAATCCATAAAATATATTTTCATGGAAAAGAATCCGAAAATTACAGACACATCAGAGCCCACCGTACATCCGTAACTTGTTTTTACAAAGTTTTCATCAGCGAAATGAGAATTGAAAATTGCCCAAGTTGGGGTACACAGAACTTAGTGCACATCCCCGGTACCCCACTGTAAATGCACATCCCCCGTACCCCACGGTACCGCCTTGAGCCTGCAGGTCTATATCCACTTCACACCTCAATTACACATACCAAGTGCGCCTTCACACTTTCAAGCCTACTCCTTTCGTTAATGCGTGAAGGTCGACATCTGCATCACAGTTGAAGGCTGCTTATTTGTACATGCAGTTCTATCAGAAAAGATTACACATTTTGTTATTTCAATCTTTACATGCTTTGGGTTTGTCTGCAGTTTTCCTCAAGTTTCTTTACATGGTTTGTCTATCTACAGTTTTTCAGACTTTTCTCAAATTACATGAGACAAGCTGCAGTGGAATGGGGACCACAAGCGCATCACAATTGGTCAAATTTGAAAGACACAAGGGACCACACCATTTGCTCTTTTGGGCACTTTGCACGGTTTGTAAGTTGCAACGACATGGGATTTGTGGATCGACTCTAGCAATGCTGGATCCTGAAGAGAGGACAGCTAACTTCACAAAGTTCAGATATTACTGTTCCTCGCCGTCCTCTTCTCGACCTCCTCCTCCTCCTGCTTCATCTGCCTATCACCCCAGTTCTGCTGTTCCGTACACTACTTTGTCGTGTGAAAGCTGCTGTGTTTGTGAGCGTGCACACAAACAGTCATCTACACACCCAAGTTGTGCAATACTTTTTCTTTTTCTTCTTCTTCTTCTTCTTCTTCTTCTTTCTTCTTCTTTGTTTTTACACAGAGAGGTCCATGATGCACCTGAAAAGGTGAGCAAGTGGATGCGGCAGAACAACATAAGGTGATGAAACAAGCAACATATCCGTAGGGAACGGGAACCACCGGGAACCATTGTCCAAATGTTATCGGTGCAGCAGGCCTCTGCTCTGGAGAGGGAAAGCGAGAATAAATAGCAAACTACCGTACATGCCATGTACTGGTGATGTCGGGGTGCACCTCGAGGACTACACGTACGCATATACTGCGTGCAAGTTGACAGCAACCAAAAAGAGAGAAAAGAGACTCGAGATGGCCGATCTAGAGTCTTCAAGGTCATCATGAGAAACAGAAAAACTTATGCTGACGAACGACACAATACTACACACACGCACACAAACAAGGGACGGCACGTGTCATTGGGCTCCATTCAGAGTGTTGCTGCACCTGTAGCTCAACCAGCTGTTGAAACTGCTGAAGCAAGGGTACGTGTGACTGCACCCCCAGCTCGGGCAATTGCCACCATTTCTCCAGGGCATGATCAATTCCTTGTGCTACTCTGATCTTCGCTTCTTCCAAACCCTGAGCAGTTCGCTCGGACAGCAACACATATGTCTGCAAGGTGCGGTGACAACAGAAAACAAACAATCAGCAAATAGTAACAGCCGTTAACATCCTATGAGCAGCGCAGGCATCTGTCCTAAAGAGGAAAGGGAGAAGGAATGACAATCAAACATTCTTGGCATGGTATAAGCTATAAAACAAAACCTATCCAAATACAAAAAAGGAAAGGAAACGTCATTATGGTAGTATACCAACCAGTTTCAAAACTTCCAGTTCCTATCAAAGCATAGAGATCTGTGAGCCCGACTACAGTAGTCATCCAGGTAAATTCTGCCAGCAGTATGGGAGGGGGGAAACAGTCAAACTGTGCATCAAGCAAGATTTCTTATTTCCTAGGCTACCTGGGTGCGGCCCAGGCCCAGTTAGCAAGTCTAGTTCCGCCTGTATAAACCAGGCAAGCCAATTGAGGACTTAGTGACTCGTGAATCTCAAGTTCTGTTGTCGATTTCATTCGTTTTAAACTTTTTCTACCAGAAGCTGCAGTCTTACAAAACATATATTTTGTTAGCGTCTTTTCAATTTTGTTAAAGAAACAGAACCATATGGTTGTGGCTTGATTTCTATTCTCTGGAGCATCAGAACCAGGTAAGCAGTTCGAGTGTGATCTGTTTATCTTCCAACATGCAGTGTCTATCATACAGGCACAAGACAGTCGTAGCCGAGAAAGATGTAATACTGCCATCTCCTGACACTTGCAAGTTCATCATCATGCATCCAGTCTTCCTCCAAAGATATATACATTGACTGAGAAAGGCCGAGACACTGAAATGGGAATGCATGATCTGTTCACCAACATCCAGTATGTGCGCACCATGCAAATGGCTGAAGAGATGTGCGGGGGGTAATAGACGGTCGGATGACGAGCAAAGGTCGAAAGGGAGATTATTTAAGATTCAGGTGATGGCTTTGAGACACTACCTCGGCAGTGACACGAGAAGGGTGGTGTGGCGATAGTGCGCAACGCATGGACAATTCGAGTTTGCTGTGAGAAGTTATGCCTTGATTGGATTGTTCCCATTTGCTGTTATCATCCCAAACCAACGAGCCACAGAGCTCGTCACTCTCGTTGATTTCATATGCTCTGCACTGGTTATGTGCATGCTATTTTTGCAAAGGATGTCAAGCCGGCCTTCAACTAATGGAAGGATACCCGCAAACACATCAGTCAACCTTGGGTGGTGAAGAGAGATTGCTCAGCACATTCAGGGGAAGAGGAATATGAGAGCACGTACCTGCACCATACGCAGCCTTGTGTTTTCTTCCACTTGAGCCTTAGGGAGCACATCCTCCTTCAAAGTATTCCAGTCGAACAGCTGGGGCAAAGGGAGAAGGAGAGCAAGGCAAAATTAGAGGCAAAACACATCCCCAGAAAAACCAGCATTGGCACCAAATGGTAATGCCATAATTACAACTCCAATATCAAAGCACAGAGTGTGCCGATTCCAGCTTGCCTCTCACACATGGTTATTCTGGACTGAAGGCTGTTGTCCTCTCTTTTTTTTTTGTTTTTGTCTTCCCAAATAAGGAAAGGGTGACACCATGACATCATAAAAAGCATACACAGCTGAGCACGAGCGAAAGCCATATGATTCTCATGTCAACCACCATTGAACCACAACTATCTCCGGACCTGACCTGCTGATGTTGATCGGGCCCGGTACCATATACCTGTTACCAGTTCGAAGAATCTCAATTTTCTCAAATATTTACATGTCTCATCAAACAGGCCTGGTAGCATACCTGTTACGATTTCGACGAATCTCAAATATTTACATGTCTCATCACACTTGCACACTTGCACACTTGACTAAGATGAAATCGCACTTGATTGGAAGCTTAGTTGGTTGAAATTTGAAATTTGAAATTCGAAATTTGAACATACACACTTACAGCCAGCGGCCTAGCTCAGTTGGTTGAGCATGCAAGTGGTATTTGGGAGGTCGTAGGTTGAATCCCTCACGGCCACCTGCAGCGGACTTACTGTTTACCAGCTGAGATAGTTGGCTTCGCACCGCCTGCTGGCTGGTCTTCGTAAGGAGCCTGGGTGTCGCATACCGTGAAGGTGCAGACCAGAACAAGAACCAACCTCTCTCACAAAGTACAAGATAGCGTAGCGGAAGGCTTAAATACCAATGATCCGAACAATCATTGTTGCAATGCAGCCCAAACTTACATCATCATCATTCCATGCTGTGAAGGGGCCTGACGCTCACACAGGAAGAATGCGCCAGTCCCCACCCATACACAGACGAAGAAGAGGGGGGTTAGACGAAGAAGAACGGAAGATGGGAATGTCGTCAACACCAAGTCTTCGGTACAGGTCCCAAATAATCCCTCGTCAAATGTCTGAATCCCAATGTCGCCAAGTCCCAAAGTCACCAATCTCTCTCTCTCTCTCTCTCTCTCTCTCTCTCTCTCTCTCTCTCTNAGCGAGAGGGTGAGGGAGAGATGGTGGACTTAGAAGAGGAAGAAGAACAACTCTCTCTCTCTCCCTCTCTGTCCGGTACTAACCTGTGAAGGTGGCACCTTGTTGCAGGTACATCGAAGACGAAGCTGGAGCTATGGCGCCACAGGTAAGTCTCCCTCGCCTCCGCCAACCATCTCCCTCTCTCCAACGCAACTCTAGCTCCTAATAGCGCCCAGCGCTGAAGACTACTGCTAACGCTGCTACTACTACTGCAGTGCTCCTCCAGAGTGCTGCTGCCGAATCCTGAAGACTGCCTCCTGCCTCCTGTACGTGAAGTGCCTGGGAAGTTCCTATGAACTATCTCGTGACTCTCTGACTGCCTGCAGCCTGCAGGGCGGGCCAGTCTTACATAGTGCTGGCCCGTCCAGGAGGCCGCTATTGCCAATGCCAAAACGTGCCAGACCCTGGTGTTGAAGTTCAAACAAAGGTTGTCTTGAAAACAGGCCAAAAATGGCCTGTGCTAAAAACCCTGGTCTGGTGCCTAAGTTTCAGGGCAGGTCGACTTTATGAGGGCCTGAAAATGGCCCTTGTTTTCAGGCTTTTAGGCTGAAACGACACAGGGCCTGTAGGCCCTCGTTTTCAGGCTTTCAGGCTGAAACGACACAGGGCCTGTAGGCCCTTGTTTTCAGGCTTTCAGGCTGAAAACGACACAGGGCCTGTAGAGCCCTTATGTTTGGTCGGGCCCTGAAGGCCCGTGTGGATGCGCAGTATGCCACACTGGGCCCTCCCTTCGGCCCCTTGCCCCTGCGATCCCTCAATGGGGGCTTGGAAACTTACTGCATAGAACAGAGTGGACTGCATAGAGTAGAGTGGATAGATGAAGCCCTCATGTCCCAGATATATATGGGTAGATAGAGCAAGGTATGCAGGTATAGCTAGTCTGAGGTGAAAACAATTGAGAGAAGAATATAGCTTTGTTTTTTTTTAACTTTTCCCACAAAAAAAAAGAACATATACACTCGGCCAATTCTTTTGTCCACAGGGGAGTCCAACTGCCCTGAGCCTCAGCACCAATCAGAAAAGAAAATGATGGGCTAGACTGCAGATCTGCGTGGCTTTGTGGCTGCCCTCATTCTCCCTGCTATCGGCCCTAAAAATAATGCTGCTTGTCCTTCTTCTACCCCATCAAAACTTGCCGAATTAAAATCCGTAACAATACCAGTTTGTGGCAGTCAGGCAGTTGAGAATCCAAACCTATCCTGATCGCCACTTTGTGGAAAAGGTGGTCCCCACAGTTGCTGCAGTCACAGCTTGTGAGAACAATGGCACAACGAACATACCATTTTCATTCTTTTCTTCCCCGCTGTGCAGCATGTGCAGTACCATCATGCCCAACATGCATGGCTTGTGTCACAACCCAACCCTCCTCACCATTCTTATTTCTCCTTTCTTCACTTGGCACCTGGCACAGTGAATCCCTCGTCCCTCTCAACATACAACATCGGCTTCGTGTTGGTGTGCATGTGTGTGCGCATGATAGCATATGAGTTTTCCCCAAGCCGAAAAACGAAAGCGCCAGTTTAGCGAGCCACATTAAAAAAACACAGGTGTGCATCATACTGCTGCATCAATAAAATGCGTGCACAGTGCACATAAAAACAGGCGACCAGGCCTCCAGTGCCCAGCATAACCATTTATGTTCAAAGAATTGAGATGTGCTTTCACATCAGGTGAGGCAAAGGTGGGTATCCATCCTTTTGCCAGCAGTTCTTTCAGTTTTTTCCCTTTATGAGTAAGGGCTCTTCAAAAAAATTGAGATTCAATTTCACATTATAGGTAAGGCTATCCGTTTGTCGGGAGTTTTTTTTTTGCCTCTCTTTTCCAGGAAGTGCCCCGGGCCATCACCAGCTTCAAGAGGAGCTGCCATGTATGCACCTCTTCTGCTCTGAAGGAAATAAGGGACAGTGACTTCACGCCTGGAAGGAGTTAGACCGACGCACCTTCCAAATGCAGTCGAGCAGAATATCGTAGTTCTCAACACTTCTTGCAAAATCAGCAAGCAGCTCCCACTGGTTTAGCCGGCGGGCACACGAAATCCATTGCTCTTCCCATAAGCACATCTCTGCCTTGTTGACAGTTGTTTTGTACATGCCATCAATTGCTCTAATCATTGCGCTGTAGAAAACCTCCTGGGCCCTTGTCCACATGCCATGCTGCACCAACGACCTATACCCAACGTGCAGAGAAATAGAAACAAAATGAAGACAGGGAGGCACAGAGATAACAAGCAAATAAGCATGTACAGTATAATAACCAGACAGTTCACCAACCCTTCAACACAGTCCTGAAGATCTAACGGCAAACAGATTGGGGTATGCTCAACAGACGCTATCGAACATCACAATCTCGATGTGAGAAAAGGGTAAATCCCTACCAACATCACGCCGACCCTGTTCCAAGAAACAAAACAAAAAAAAATGCAAACCACTCACATTTCCTACAATCCACCACTTGCTTGCAAGTCAATGGTCTGCAACAGCAGACACATAGCTGCATGAACATCTGCATGTAAGACACAAGAAGAGCCAGCACGCGGAGAGAGAGAGAGAGAGAGAGAGAGAGAGAGAGAGAGAGAGAGAGAGAGAGAGAGAGAGAGAGAGAGAGAGAGAGAGAGAGAGAGAGA